GCGTGCTCCACAGGCGGAGCAGTGACTCTCATTCTTCTCGAGTCGGGATACGTTCCGAAAGTTACAAAAAAACGGTCACAAACTATTATGCTCGCGAGTGTACACGTTATATTACGTGTTACATTTCGTTACATTACGACAATGTAACTATGATGTAACTGTGTTTACTGGGATAGAACTACACAACAAAGCATCCACAAAAAAGCGGAATAGAATTTCTGATTGATTAATCTCTCACCATTTCTTTTATTTGTTACTATTCCGCTTTGTTATTTCTTTCTCTAGCGGAATGCAGCCTTATTTGCAATAAAAAGCATTTGCAGCTTTTGATGGATTGCATGAATAATTGTGTTATATAACATCAGCAATGTAATATGAACGTAATTACTGTTATATAACGTATTACATTATTGTTATATTTTTATTATAATATTATCTCCATCTTATAACAAAACAATGTAACAGATATATAACATAATTATATTACAATTATAGAACCAAATTATATAACCTCAATATAACTAGAATATAACATATGTTATATTATATGTTACTTCTATGTAACAGTTCTATATAACAGTTCTATATAGCAGTTATATTCTGTGTTTGCTGGGTAGTAACTTGTAGCCCAGCAAACACAGATATATAACAATAACATTATTTCAATATAACAAAATGTAACACGTATTATAACGTAGATGTTGCAGCAACATATATATAAGTTACAATTTCCCACTCATATAAAGTTGTAGTTATATAACATAAACATAATAAAATGTTATATAACGGTAATATTCGTTATTATAAAGCAATATAACAGTTATATAAGTTGCTAAACTGTTATATAACTGCACTATATAATTACAAGTATGTAATGTAACTGTTACGTAACTGTTATTTTAATTGTAGTAAAATTGTAATATAACTACGTTATGAAAATGTTCTTTACCAAACGCGAATCTTAGAAATAACTATTTCCTGAATTAATTCTAAACAAAATTACATGAAATTTAAGAATTTACATGAAATGAATTACATGAAAATTTAGAATTAATTAAAAAATCAGTTATCTCTAAGATTTGCATTGGTGAATTATTATAGGAATCAAATGAAAAATGCTATGATCAATATTTATATTTATATATATTAATTAATATAATTTATATTTAAGCCTACAATATAATTTGAGTATATGGAACACTTTTACATTCGTACGAGCACATAAATATTAACAGTTTAAGAAACTATGTTTTAGAAATTCTGAACAAAAAATAGTTATAATACTTGTAATATTCTGAATCGAACGGAAAAAATATAACATTTATAATATTCAAAATCTAACGAAAAAGATATGTAATATTAATAACATAATAAGAAATAAATACATAATAATATTATTGTTTTATATATGCCCTGTCATTGTCATCATTGTTCTTCTTTCGATTTATTCTTTTTATTTCGCTGATTGGCAAAGCGTAGCCATTCAGCTATTATAGCATCAAAATCGGCTTCGGTAAATACAGTATAACGCGATGTCACTTCTCCTGAAAAAAAAAAAAAATAATAGATGCAATTAAGAAAATCGTAGCAATGAAACATTATAGTTTCACCAACGTATATATAACATATTTTCATAATTTTTATGAAATATAAATTTGAGATTTTGAAATTATTCCTGAATCCTATCCACGAACATTTTAGTGCACATTCATTTGTTAATGTTTTTTGCAATAGTCTATACAGATTATCTTTAGCATTGCTTCCGCCTGTTTTTGACATAAACTCTTTCTGTGAAAAAGGAACAAATACATTTAATATGAATTAAAAAATCGAGCACTGCAATATAGAGTAATATTCCAAGAGAAGTGTATACTTTGAAATTTTTTAATAGTACAGCTTTGTTTAATTAAACAGTTAAAGTGACGTTTTTATCGAGATAATTATGCATATTGTTAAATAATTATATTGTTAAAAAATATCAATTATTAAATCTTGAATGTTTTCTGTAATTTAATCAATATGCCGCGCGACTTATGTATACTATACATCATTATATTTATAAATTGTGTCACTGCTTTATCCGATGTTTTTAATAATGCATCGAACTGTTTTATAGCTTCTATTGTTGATATTGGTAAAAATGGCGTGATGAGATTATCATTAATTTTTGAAGGACTTAACGCTCGATGCTTTATGACATTTTCTATGTTTAATAATCGTAATATACTGCACAAGTACTTCTTCCGAATTGTGATATGATTGAAATATATATTATATGCTAGAATTAAATATTTTGTAATCTATTATGATTACATGATTGTACATGATTGTACAAACATGATTGACAATGTAATTTAAGATTGACACATTACAATTACATATATGTAATAGTAATCATTGTATAGACAATTACAACATATGTAATTGTAATCTGTCAATCTTAGATTACATTACCTGCAATTTTATAATTATAATAGATTATAAAATGCCCAACTTCATTATATATATCATATATAAACAATATTGTTTGTGACGGAATATTACAGCATAAGAATATAATCATATAGAAAATGTATGCACGTTAGCTACATCTTTTAATATCTATTAATTAATATAAATATTAATTTTTCGCTTATAGTAAAAGATATAAATTATGAGTAACAGCTTACTTATTTACAATTTACTATCTATCTTGGTATAACGCTTGATATAAGTCCTTTATATAAACTTTTAAAGACCCCATGCGACGACTTTATTATTTTCTCATACTCTTAGCAAGCTGCTGCAATGTATTGGCAATATTAGGTGCGCAACTAAGTTCTCGCTGTTTTTTTGATGAAAATGCAACTTTATTGTGAAAAAATGGTTACAAATGAATCATTCAAAATATTGCCCATCGCTAGCGACAACTTTTTCCCATCTTTCTGGCAGAGCTCGAATACCGTCACGGTAGAAGTGTTCGTCTTTTGAGGCTATCCACGAATCAAGCCATTTTGAGATGTCTTCATATGAGCGGAACTGCTGATTAGCCCGACCATGTGCCATCGAACGGAACAAGTAATAATCGGACGGCGCAATATCTGGGGAATATGGCAGGTGTGGTAGGACTTCCCATTTGAGCGTTTCTAAGTAGGTTTTAACGGGTTTGGCAACGTGAGGCCGAGCGTTGTCATGCTGTAGAATCACTTTTTCGTGCCTCTGCTTGTATTGTGGCCGCTTTTCGCGCAGTGCTCGGCTCAATCGCATCAATTGAGTTCGATACCGTTCCCCAGTGATGGTTTCGTTCGGTTTCAACAGCTCATAATAAATAACACCGCCCTGGTCCCACCAAATACACAGCAAAACCTTCGCAGCGTGAATATTCGGCCGAGCCGACGACGTAGAAGCATGATCGGGCAGTCTCCATAATTTTGTTCTCTTTGGGTTGCTGTAATGAATCCATTTTTCATCACCCGTAACGATGCGATGAAGAAAACCCTTCCTTTTTTGCCGCTGGAGCAGTTGTTCACAGGCGAAAAAACAACGCTCAACGTCTCTTCAAATCATAAGGCTTCAAATCATGAGGAACCCAAGTTCCTTGTTTTTGAATCATTCCCAACGCATGCAATCGCTTGGAAATGGCTTGGCGGGTAACTCTTAATGCTGAAGCAAGCTCTTTTTGCATTTGGCACGGATCCTCATCGAGCAATGCCTCCAATTCAGCGTCTTCGAAGGTTTTTGGCCTTCCTTCACGCGAACGGTCGTCAACATCGAAATCACCGTGTTTGAAACGACGGAACCAATCACGGCACGTTGTTTCACTTAGAGCAGCATCTCCGTAAACTTTTTGGAGTTCTCGATGCGCTTCAGCCGCCGTTTTCTTCGAATGAAAGAAGAAAAGCAACACTTCCCGCAAATGACGATTATTTGGCACAAAATAAGACATTTTCACACAACCAAAAGTATATGACGCAAAAACAAAATCACTAATATGTCAAAGCGGTTTGTTTACCATATGTCTAAGCTTGGTTCATGACGTTTTGGTTATGTCACAATCGACCAGCACTTACTACTGGAGCCATCTCTTGAAAAACAGCGGGAACTTAGTTGCGCACCTAATAACATATAAATTGTAATTATTTTTTTATATCTATTTATATATCAAACAAATTTAGGATTAAATACCCAGATAGCCAAATTTGTAATGCCAAATAATTCCAAACACATGCTACAAGTTTTGTCAGCAAAAACAGCACAAATTTGAAACAAAACTTGGTATTTCAAATGATGTCGACAAATTGTTAACAAATATGTAACAATCTTTGCGTACACAACTTGGTGCCAAATTAACGTCAAATACAGAGCAAGGCTTGACAAAAATCCGAAGAAATTGGCGTCAAATAAAAAGCAAACCTTGGTGGCAGAACCCTGCAACAAATTCACGCCAAATACATGATAAATCTTGGCGCCAAATCCACAGCAAACTTTGGTGTCAGAATCCGACAGCAAATTGGCGCTAAATACAGCGCAAACCTTGATGTCAGAATCCGACAGCAAATTGGCACCAAATACGTAGCAAAGCTTGGTGTCAACGCGACACCAAATTGACGCCAAACCCACAGCAAATCTTGGCGCCAGCACGCGACACCAAATTGACGCCAAATCCACAGCAAACTTTGGCGTCATACGCGATATCAAATTGACGCCAAATCTATAGCAAATCTTGGTGGTAGCCGCGATACCAAATTGACACCAAATCCACAGCAAACTTTGCTGTCAAAGTTTGACACAAATTTGACGCCAAGAATTAAATAAAATTTGTCGCTTTAATGCCATAATTTTTTTATTTCAGGAATTAAATGAGTCACAAATAAAAATATAAATGTTTTTATTAGAACCATATATATTACAAATTAAAGCTATTTAAATTTAAATAAATAAATAGGTAACCCCCAATATGTATATATATTCAGTTCCACTCAATAAAAGTTTATATTATATCATATATATATATATATATATGATATAATATAAACTTTTATTGAGTGGAACTGAAAAGTACCGATTGTTTATTGCAACAATCAACGTCAACGTCTTAAAAATGTGGCACTGAAAAGTGCCGATTTGCTCCACCCTCTTCGGGTAGAGTATGTGTGATGTATGTGTGTGATGTGAGACGTAGGAGCAGCACGCTACTTCACAAGTGACCCTGCGAAATACGTGTGATGTGTGTGTACGTGTATGTGTATGTGTGTGTGAGCGTGTATGTGGAATCCCTCTCTCCTGTGGCAACCCCTCTCTCCTGTGACCGTGGATTATCGCATCTGTAAATATCCTGTAAATACAAAAGTTTTTACCTTTTCAAAAAATTAACATAAAAATAAATATTATCATAACTGTCGTAATCAACATATTACCGTTTATTTCCTTCTTGTTTCTTTATGTATTTTCGGGCTCTTCCTCTTGTTCTTCCTCACGATTGTCGCCTCATAAGTCCCTCTGGATCCTTGGTCCTCCTGCCGTTGTCCCTCGTCTTCTGTGCCTGTGCCGCTCCTTAGCTGTTCGTAAGGCCGCTTGCATTTGAGTTTGGAACTCGGAACGCAGAGGCCTTTCGAAATGCCGATTACGACATATACCATCTGGAAAATTATAAGTTATCATTATATATCATGATATGTATCATATAGATGCCGAAAAAATTATTATATTAATATCATGTGGCAAACATCGAACGTAGTGATATCATAACGACGTACTTGCTACGTCTGTCAAGATAGAGTTACACATGTGTATATATATGTATATTTGTCAAAAATAATGTTTAGAAATGCAATTTTTCTATACAGGGAGGTGAACGATCGTTTAGATCATATGGAGACACAGATGAAGTGAGTATATACTTTTTAATCTTAGAAAAATTAATTGAAACTGATATTTCCTTACCTTGTGTTGTCAGGAAAATGAATACACTCTTGGAGAATATCTACAAGTGTGTGCAAAACACCAACCAATGTACTTCAGTGCCATGTAGACCAGAGATGTTCCCCATAGTATCGATCGCACAATTACGTGCTTTCCAGGATATTCATATAGAACTTTACAACAATGCTGTAAGTAGAAAGAAATATTTTGACGCCTTTTGATGTATTATTTGTTTGGTTATTATACCTGTCTTTTCTGTTTCAGGTCAACTATTTCCATTACATCGGTGGCTTCAACTTTAAAGAAGCTGTAAATCTGTGTTTCAAGGACAGCATCCAGGACTCCTTGATGCCACTTTTGACTTGGTTCGGGGGCAAGGAAAATCAAGAGGCATTGTACAACACTCGCTTGGTGAAAGCCATCTATGGTAAGTACACTTCTTGTTCATGACTTGTTGTATATGTGTTTTATTATTTCTGTATTTATTATGTGTGAAAGTTACGATTTTCAGTGTCACTCTGTATGTGTGATGTTGAAGATCATGTAACTTTTATATATAATGAATACAGTAATAATAAGACACGCATACGTAGCGATGTGCTTGCTATATCTATTTAGATAGGGATAAGCACATATGAATATAAGGTAATTATCATCCAGTTTACCTCAGTTCTGATTTCGCTGAAATTCACATAAATTATGTATTTTAACGCGTAGAAACCGAATTTGTAAACTAAAGTCGTCGCTCCACACCGTGAAGCGAGATATGAAACGTTAAAGTTGACCGGTATGACAGGTTAGGAAATCTGTCACAGCAACTAATCGTAGCGACACTAGTATACTCTGCGCGTGCTCACCTGCGTTTTTATATATCTTTTAATAAATGTTTTTATTATTTATAATCTAATATATATACTCATTTAAGAAGACAAAGATTTAATAAGAAATTTCAACTAACATGTACGTTACATGTAACATTGTGTTTGCTGGGTACTTTGATAAATATTCTGATTTAATTGTTTTTTAATCTAACATTTCTTCTAAAGTATATCTAGAAACTATAAAATTATTGCTGTTTGGGTGGCCACAGAGTATACTAGTGTTGCTATTAACTCGTTAGTATGACAGGTTTTCTAACCTGTCATCCCAGTCAACTTTAACCATTATTGGGTCTGTTCTTTGTAGCTGCAATACTGAACTAATGCAATAACTTAGAGTGAGAAAAAATATAGTTGTCAGATTTTAACTAATTGCATTAGTTCAGCAGAGTGCAGCTATAAAGAACTGATCCTATATCTCAATTCACAGTGCAGAGCGACGATTTTGACTTATAGATTCAATTTCTACGCGTCAAAATACACAATATATGTAAGTTTCAGCCAAATCGGAGGTGAGGGGCCTGAACTGAATAATTACCGGCAATCTATAAATGCCTTACCATTCCTTGCATCACAATTTTAACGATTTTAAGCCTAACACATAAGTTATTTATTATGATCTTATGAAAATGATAGTAACTTACCCAATCTGCAAATTTATGTGTAGGGCTGAATATCGTCTAAGTTTTGATGTAAGAAATGATATATAAGGCTTTTATACATTCATGTCACTTAACTCTATCTTGACAGACGTAGCAAGTACGTCGTTATGATATCACTACGTTCGATGTTTGCCATATGATATTAATATAATATTTTTTTCGGCATCTATATGATACATATCATGATATATAATGATAACTTATAATTTTCCAGATGGTATATGTCGTAATCGGCATTTCGAAAGGCCTCTGTGTTCCGAGTTCCAAACTCAAATGCAAGCGGCCTTACGAACAGCTAAGGAGCGGCACAGGCACAGAAGACGAGGGACAACGGCAGGAGGACCAAGGATCCAGAGGGACTTATGGGGCGACGATCGTGAGGAAGAACAAGAGGAAGAGCCCGAAAATACATAAAGAAACAAGAAGGAAATAAACGGTAATATGTTGATTACGACAGTTATGATAATATTTATTTTTATGTTAATTTTTTGAAAAGGTAAAAACTTTTGTATTTACAGGGTATTTACAGATGCGACAATCCACGGTCACAGGAGAGAGAGATTGCCACAGGAGAGAAGGATTCCACATACACGCTCACACACACACACATACACGTACACACACATCACACGTATTTCGCAGGGTCACTTGTGAAGTAGCATGCTGCTCCTACGCCTCACATCACACACATACACCACACATACTCTACGCGAAGAGGGTGGAGCAAATCGGCACTTTTCAGTGCCACATTTTTAAGACGTTGACGTTGATTGTTGCAATAAACAATCGGTACTTTTCAGTTCCACTCAATAAAAGTTTATATTATATCATATATATATATATATATGATATAATATAAACTTTTATTGAGTGGAACTGAATATATATACATATTGGGGGTTACCTATTTATTTATTTAAATTTAAATAGCTTTAATTTGTAATATATGTGGTTCTAATAAAAACATTTATATTTTTATTTGTGACTCATTTAATTCCTGAAATAAAAAAATTATGGCATTAAAGCGACAAATTTTATTTAATTCTTGGCGTCAAATTTGTGTCAAACTTTGACAGCAAAGTTTGCTGTGGATTTGGTGTCAATTTGGTATCGCGGCTACCACCAAAATTTGCTATAGATTTGGCGTCAATTTGATATCGCGTATGACGCCAAAGTTTGCTGTGGATTTGGCGTCAATTTGGTGTCGCGTTCTGGCGCCAAGATTTGCTGTGGGTTTGGCGTCAATTTGGTGTCGCGTTGACACCAAGCTTTGCTACGTATTTGGTGCCAATTTGCTGTCGGATTCTGACATCAAGGTTTGCGCTGTATTTAGCGCCAATTTGCTGTCGGATTCTGACACCAAAGTTTGCTGTGGATTTGGCGTCAATTTGGCATCAGGTTATGTACGCAATCTTTGGTACCAGAACCCGAGCTTTTTGCGGACACAGATGGCACCTGATTTGACGTCAAGTTTTGGGTACATTTGGTGCCAATTTGGTGCCGATTTGGCATCAAATGGTTTACTGGGTATATACTAACACATTTTGAGTCAAATATTGAGGTTAAGTTGTATCATTATTAGATTAACTTTATTAAGCTCGTGAAAACTTTATTGAAGATAGTTTCAACTGCAAATATATATGTTTTTAATGATAGAATTGTTAAAAATTATTCTTATACATATAACACTTGAATATTTTATCTTATCTCACGTTTTGGATCTTCACATGATAAGCCGTTAAATGTATGCGATATTCATAAATTTATGCAGAATAATAATTTTATAAGCGTTTTGTTAATAATATATATTGAATATGAACAGATTATTTATTACATAAGAGGATTACTTTAGATTCAAACGATCAGTGTCTCATTCCAAGACCTATCAGACCAAATCCATCATCCATACTAAAATAGTAAATATATAGTTCAACTTTAAGGCCAGGTTTACAATAAAAGTGGTTGAGCTTGAGGCATAGTTTACAATGAAGCTTTACGATTTAAAACTTAAGGAATTGACTTTGTTGCTGTACTTATAGGTTATATATTTCTTAATAATTATATATATAACTTCCTTAACATATGCATGATATATTCGATATACATACATAGATATAACATTAATATAACATGTATATATAACATGTTATCTAACATAAAAATATTGGTAACACAACACTTGTTATATTACGTGTTATATTCCAGTTACATTGCTGTTATACTTTTATAACAAGTACATAACAGAATAATATAACAGTGTCATAACATAGTTACATTGCAGTTATAATAGGAAATAATATTACTTCAATATTAATAACATGTAACAGCAGTCATATTGCATGTTACTTCTGTGTTATATAACATTTATATTCTGTGTTTGCTGGGATATTTACAGACCTGGTATGGCTTAGTGTGTCCGTAACGTTGACAGTTACTATATTGAGGGATGTCTCTTTTAGGACGTGGAGGTTCTATTATGATACGACATTGTAATAAACTTTTTGTTTCATATATTGTTTTGTTATTTATGTTTGGTTTTAAATCTACCATAAAAGTAAGTAGAGGTTTTTTTAGTCACTCTCTGTTTTATGTTCCAGATATTTACAACCAAGTGGCCTAATTCTTTTAATGCAGACTTTACTTCATCTGTATTAGTTAAGTGGTGCAGATTCTTTACTGCTCTGAAGCTTCTTTCCTGCTTAGGCTTGTGTGGAATTCGGTTCCTTTCAGTTGTATTTGTGTGCCAAATGCCAAAGATGTTTTTAGTTGTATTTTGACTTATTCATTCTTTAGTATCTCTAAGTCATATTCATTCTCAACTGAATCCTCAAGTAGCTGAACTGAACCCTCAAGTAGGTCAGAGGTTGAATATTACTGACTCCATTCACAAATAATGATGGAGGCTTGTATCTCTTGTGTTAGTTGTTCATTTGTGTCATTGCTAATGTTATTAAGACTTTCAAGTCTGTTATTTGTCTGTGTCGGTGCAGCGAGCCAGTAACTATTTATTTTTAATTGTTTACTGCTTCTATTTTGATTGTGATCGCTGGGACTATTACGTTGCTTCTTTTTATTAATTTTCGTTATCCAAAGTGGATTCATGAGAGTTGGATATGTTTTCACTCAGAAATTGGGATCTTGGTCTGTTCATGGGAGTATTAACCCTGAGGGTTTGTTGGTTATAAATTGACATCTCATACTTTATTTTGTTGGTCATTGCCAGTGATGAGTATTTATTGCCTGCTTTTCTATGGGCGTTTGATCATCATTACATTCTTGAGTATTGGTCACATTGTCGACGTAAGTGGTTGAATCAAGCAATAGTTGGCCCTCCCCAGAATCCTTAGGGCCTGTCTCCTTGAAGGGTGGTTTTTTCAGCATCAGAGCTGGACATCATAGACTGGACTGTCACTTGGCGTACCACATCTAATAATTGTTTTGTCCATTGCTTGAAATGCTGTTGGTCCACGAGAAGTATTTTATTGCCCTCTTGCTCCACAGATCCAAAGAATCTGTTGAGCTCTTCCCCATCGGCTACCTGGGGACGCGCCTTCTAGCGATTACAGCTCCGCCGAGGGCGTAAAATAAAGTACAATTAAAAATTTCTTACGTAATGTTAATCTTCAATGTTGCTTTTGTATTTATATCTAGAACTTTAGGATAGGCGAAAAATTTGAAAAAGCTTCAAGAAAGTAAAACGAAAGTTGATGACAAAATCGCAGTATCACTATTTGTAATACGGATCTATCTATATGTAATACGGACTATCTGTAATACGGATTACTTTCCTTCCAATCTAATAATTGTAACTTAAATAGACAGACATGTTGGCAATAGCATGCATGCATTCAATGTATATTTTATGATACTATTGAATTGGCATAACATGTTTGTAATATGCTTGCCGTAAGATATACATATTTATTATTCCATACTTTGCAGCAAAATATCAGTTTGTTTGTATTGCTGATTAATTGCGTCCTCTTGCCGACACAATTGTGGCATGTGCCGCAATTTTCATGGCACCAGATTGTTTCTTTTATATGCTGCTATTGGGTGAGTGCAAAAGTTCGTGCGGAGTTTCAATAGATGGAGTTATAAGCGTCGTAAAGTGTTGTCATTAATACTTCCATCTACATATTATATAACGTTGGAAAGGTGACGTCTTCAGCTGTTATTAAAAAAAAAATCATTTGTTTTCATACAAACTGCTTCGAGAAATATCACTTTAAAAATGAGTATCGATAAGGTGCATTTACGGCATGTTATGCTTTACGAGTTTCGGAAGGGAATAAACGTTGCCGCAGCCGTAAAAAACATTCAGGATGTTCATCAGGATGAAGCACCAGCTAAACGAACTGTGGAAAAATGGTTTGCTAAATTTCGGCGCGGAGAATTTAACCTTGAAGACGAGCCACGCTCTGGTCAACCTTCTGACATTGATGACAATGTTTTGCGTATTTTAGTGCTCAATAATCCGCGAATTTCAACAGAAGAAGTTGCTACAGCACTAAACGTTGACCGATCAACCGCTTTTCGGCGTTTAAAACAGATGGGATTCGATTTGAAGCTCGATATATGGGTGCCCCATTTGCTGACCGAGAAGAACAAAATCAAGCGAATTTCTGCAGCCGTTTCTTTACTCGGGCGGCTCAATAACGAGTCGTTTTTGGATCGACTAGTGACGGGCGATGAGAAATGGGTCCTCTACAACAATGTTCAGCGCAAACGGACATGGAAACAATCAGGTGAGCATGGTGACGCAATGCCAAAGGCCAGTTTGCACCCGAGGTGAAGGTGATGCTCTCTGTTTGGTGGGATTGCAAGGGCATAATCTATTTCGAGCTTCTCCCCGCTGGCGAAACGATTGATTCGGACAAGTACTGTCGCCAATTAACCAGTCTGAATCGAGAAATAAAAGAGAAACGTCCGATTTTGTCAAATCGCAAGGGAGTCGTCTTTCATCACGACAACGCCAGACCACACATTTCGAAAAAGACGCTGCGCAAACTGAAGAGCCTGAAATGGGATGTCTTAACGCATCCACCGTATTCTCCTGATATCGCACCATCTGACTATCACTTGTTCCGGTCATTGCAAAATTATTTAAATGGAAAAAACTTTGACTCTTTGGAGGCCTTAAAAAACGGCGTCTCTTCGTTCTTCGAATCTAAACCGCGCAGTTTTTATGATCGAGGCATTCGTATGCTGCCAGAACGTTGGGAAAAGATTATAGAAAACGATGGAGAATATATCATTGATTGAATAAAGATTTTTGTTTGCCTAATCACTGTGTGACTTTTACTCACAAACTCCGCACGAACTTTTGCACTCACCCAATACAATGTTTCTTGTGTAAAGACGCATCTTTATATACTTATATTGCTATTTTAATTTTCGAATTCTCTATGCTGGCAATCTACCGAGATTTGTTTATTTCGGGAATATGCAGTTTAAAAAAACTTTACATACAAAGAAATATAAGATTAAAATATAGATTAGGGATAAGTGATGGAAATATAGAAGTGCGTGGTATTTAAGTAGAAAGAGTATTTCATTTTTACTTCAAAGCTTGTGTATAAATATACGTATATAACAAAAGTTTCACAATCGCTTTAGCGAAAGGTACAAGCGTATATATGTTCGATAATATATTTACCATGTACAAAATCATGTATATATACCATATATAATATATAAATACGCGTACATTCACACACATACACACACACATGCACGCATGCATAGTATGAAGTTATTCTAATTAGTCCTTGTGTAATAATCATTAAATATGGATGAACGTGATTATTTGTAATGTGCAAGTGATATTTGGGAGAAGGTAGTGTGTACACATATGTTGTGTGTGTGTGTGTGTGTGTATGTGTGTGTGTGTGTGTGTGTGTGTGTACGTGTGTGTATATATATGTAGAAAAGGGGCAGAGAGGGAATGGAGTTGCAGTATCTCAGAATAGAAGCCGTAAACGAGGGAGGTCTGTAATGGTTGTCGTCGAAAGTGCGCGCGATATATGTCATATTTTGGCAAGATAGAGCTCGTGTTGGACGTTGATTATTTGCGATAAGTGTTATGTGGAGGTAAATATTGATTGTTGGCTCCGTCGCTTCCAACAAAGCCGCCTCCACCAAAACTGCCTCCGGGCCCACCGTAACCTCCTCTAGCTGTTAACAAGATATAAAAAAAAAATAATGAGAAGAATCTTAGATGTATGATGTATGATATGAAAGTTGTCTGGTACTTAAAAAAGCAATGTGCAGGTAGAAGATTGATTAAACAAGGAAATCCTCTATTATTTTGCAAATTTCGTAATAGTTGTTTAGGAATTAATTAAACAATATTAGGAAATGAGTGCAAAGGAAGGGACGAGGTCTAGGACGAGATGTATAGATAAAATTTCACCCAAGATGGCTCGAATCTGTTGATGGTGAAATCACAGTGGTAGCAGCTTCGGGTGATAAGATGTGATACGGGATTTAAAGAACTCTAAACAATGTTCAAATGACTAAATTTTATGGAAGTTTTTACAACTTCTCTCCTAGACACGTGTGTGTTTTACGCTAAAAGTAAAATGGATGTTGCACTGACCTCCTTGATAGCCGCCACCGAAACCACCTCCTTGATATCCTCCCGGGCCGCCTCCGCGGGGGAACTGAGCTTGTCCCTCGTATTGAACGTCTGCGTTGTATCCGTTTACATCATCAGCCATGTAGCGGACGATTTGCGTCCTCGAGTCCGGTAACAGGACTCTATATTCACCTTGAACAACATTGCCGTCGCTGCTTTCTCGTTGAGCGTAATCGTTACCACTCGGCGGATCGACGACTTCGTATTGGAAACTGTACGGCTGCGGCTGCGAAATCAATCGAGAGAATCGCCGTTGATAACTTAACATTTTCTCGTTGCTCTATTTCATTACAATTTGTGTTTCAAAGTTGCTTTTATGTTTATAAGGAAGAAACACGAGAGGAAACTCTATACTATGCGATACACCCGCTTCGATATTTTTACCCTGCCAGAGTCACGCCCGCCATATCCGAATCCTCCTTGATATCCTCCAGCGCCGCTGTCCTGGTAACTACCGCTACCACCGTCACCGAATTGAGGATATCTGTAGGACGATGATGGTCCTCCAAACACGCCCCCAGCACCTGGCCTGCCAAAAGCGTCGCTGCCTCCGCCGCCCGGTGGACCATAAACCTGGGTGGGTCTTCCAGTTCTGTAGCTGCCGATGCCGAAGTCACTGCCGCCGCGGCCACCTCCGAAGCCGGCATCACCACTCACGAATCCTCCACCGCTGCCGCCGCTGACGAATCCGCCGCCTCCAGGTCGGTTATACTGGTACCCTCCGACACCGCCGCCTGGCAAGAGACCAGCGAGGACATCGCTGCCGAGGCACGACAGCACCAGGACCAACTTGGCTAACTACAATCGGGTTGATTCGGCGAAAGGTTACGATGAGACTGATCAGTAGCGAATTAATGGTATCCTTATTTATATATTATCCGATTTTGTTTGACAGTACTAGATGATAATTTTTTATCAAATTGCTTTAATTTCTCGCGATGTACATATAAACAAGAGCATTACTAAGTTGGTACAATATGTACTAAGAAGACGCATCGTCAAAATAAAGGCAATTCAATAGAAAATGATTTATTGCTGCGTGTACCGAACGATCGTCGTAAACAAGATCAGTGAAGCACGATAAAATATGGTTGCATTGGGTCAACTTAAGATGAAAAATTGATGAAGTTTGTATGTGCATTTTTTTCTAACCACACGCGGTCGATTATTATATCGCTCTAATTGTGAAATACTGTCGTAAGTGATAACTACCTATTTGCCAAGTATTATGCAACGACTGGGAGACGCCACGCTTATAAAAATGTTATATTATCGGGAAATACTGAGGTCTCCGGTCATGATAGCGGGGTTTTTCGTCTCGAAGGAGATTATATACATCGCCTTGGATGGAAAGAGATGATTGACACGTTAAGAGACTCTGCGAAATGGCGAACATCGGTGTCCGCTGCGATCATGCGCTACTGAGGGAAAGTGGGGCACAATCCGACATCCCTTCGTTAAGTGCAGTTATATGTCCGACAACACACATCGAGGGCAGACCGACGTATGAATCTAGTTTCGATTACGTTATTATATATCTTCTAACGAAAAGGTCTGGAATTTCGTTATGTCATCGGCACTAACCTAAGAAATGGTCCCCTGGGTACACAGCGCGTACGTGTCTACTGCAGAGTTATGGAGGGACACGTAAAAGGCGTTCTGAGTTTCTAATAGACGTTGCCGTGTGTCTTTTGAAACTTCCTGCGTTGTGCGACTTGCGATTCGCGAAGTGGTGATCTTTCAGTCTGCGCGATAATCTATGCATCCGATTATGAGTGTCTTTTGAAAAGCGTCGGCTCAATGTAGTCCGCAGCCGCGTTGCGGACTACACACGACCGAGATAAGTTGCAACATTTGTCAGAAATGTCGCACCTTTCACGATTGCGACGCGTTTGTCACCAATTCAGCGGTCGTCGCCGGTACAATGAGAGTATAATTACGAATTCTCTCTGCCTGTGTTATCGTTCGAGACCGACGACTCGAGACCGGTGTGATCACCGTTGCGATTTATTTTCATCTCAATCGTCATCTCCCGCTGAAGCAAAATCAAAAGTCGTTCGCGTGCGGAATAAATTCTAATGGCTCGACTTTGTCAAGTACGCGGGAGACCGGATGATTTTCTCGACTGCAGATCACGAATATTGCGATACTCGAAATTGATACGAATTCGGTTAGTACGACACGCGTTTCGTCGGACGTGCGAACGGCTGAGAGGGTTAAAGCGTTCCGCGCCGTTCCACGTGCGTGCTAATCTCTGATGGCCTACCTGGTGGCAATTCATATTGTTGTAGGACCGAAGACGCGAGGCGAACTGAGAAGATGATCCACCGGAGAGTTTATATATCGCGCGGACCCTTTGTTACAGTTTATCCTTCGTGCCGCATATCCATGTATTAACCGGCGTATTAGAATGACCGGCCGTACCGTGGGAGGGTGTGGGAGGTGGAGAGGTGCGCATCTTCCCTTCACTCCGTGTGATGCATTATGGGAAGAGATAGCCCGCTGATGACTGAGGTGGCTTTAAAATTTTAATTGGAGCTACGCACGTGACTGCGACCTCTCGCGATCGGAGGGTATCCTCTCGGCGGAGCACTTACGTCTGGGTAACAAATCGCGAGTCACAATCGACTCCGAGGCGTGTGGCAAAAAAAGAAGAAGTTTCACCGACGAATTCCTTCTTCGCCAGGCCTAGTCCTCTTTATTTGACCTCTCGATCCTTCAAATCGAAGATTAATTCGGGGCCATGTGCGAAACACACTGAATTACATGCCAAATATATCACGATCGACTGGGACAGCGGTGGCTGGGTGTGGAAAAAGTGACAGGACGGTGAAAGGTTCGACGCGTCTTAAATTTGCAATTATGATTACTCCGAGTGTTTTTATGTGTATATAAAGGATTTTGCACAGATACCCTTTTGTGTCGAGCGACATGGCGTAATATGAACTTTCATATCAGCGCGATTAATTACGAGTACGTGTACTTTCAGTCGAAATTTCAGATCTTCAGTCTTCTTCGCGCAAAATTGTACTGTTATAATCGCAACTACATTGAACATAACCTTTTTTTCGCGCGAAATATGACGAATACAAGTACTCAGTGAGAGAAAAGTTGTGATTCTCTTTTTATTGTGTCTTTTCCATGTTCGCAATGCATCCGTACCCAATCGAGAGATGGGTGGAGGGGGAATTTGTTTATTTTAGTAATTTTCTGTTTAGTCCCGTATCTGAATTGATTTAATAGCTCTATTGATCTCTATTTTATATGTCATTATCTAGTTTTAACACTGCAATATTTAGTCATTTATTTTGGAAAATTTCTGAAATTTCTAGTCCTATGTGTATGTTGTAAACAAGTGGATAGGGGGAACAGAAGACGGGAAATTCTTAATAAATTGAAGGATTTTTTTCACTTCTTTTACACTTATTTCTCTTTATTTATTTTGTTATTTTTTCTCCTTTCTACTTTTTTATTCTTTTTTCTTATTTTCTTACATTTTAATTTTTTCCTTTTCTCTTTCTTTTTCCTTCTTTGTTCTGCTTTCTGTATATATATCTTCTCTTGTTTCGTTCGATTATATTTAGTGTACTGTAGCAGAAGCATTACTTCTATAAACGAACAAACAAAGAAAGAAATAAATAGATAAATTTTTAAATGATAAATTTTCATGCGCTCCGCAATTTATTGTGATAAAAGCGTCGTGCTCGTTCTCTTGCTTGAAATAAAATCGAATTTATACGTAATCTGTATTGATCTGTCAGTGCGGCGGTATACGGTAGGAAAGATGATCAAATAATATCGGATTGTCGTCAGCCGAGGTAACAGGCCAAGGAGAGATTTTCGTGCCACGTGAGGCGCGAGCACGAGCTCCTCGAAACTATCGCAAATCATCGTCGGATTGAGCAATCAGCCTACACCGCGGACTTATTTTCGACATCGCGCGCCGCGTGATAAAAGAGAATCCCTGAGGCACGTGGCGGCGGCTAGCGCATTCGACGCGTTGCACGCGCGCGCATAAGAATGTGCGATTGCATATGCCATAGGCGCTCCGCTCGGGAAAATCTGCACCGGCACTTGGCGTATCTGTATGGTGATCATGTAACTTCACCTTACGAGCGGACAAGTTTCGCGTGAACAGTTTTACATGTCTGTACTTCGAAAAATATGTGATTTATTGAAAAATCATCGAATTCACCGATTTTCCATTTTTCATTGCCACTCCTAGGTACTGTAGTAGTAGTCACATAATAAGGTAATATAATAATATTATTAGTAGGTAATATAATAGTATTGTAATAGTTATACGGATACACGTCGCTGCCGCGCCGACGATGAGTCGATTCTCTTCGTTTTCCTTTGACAGTACATTGATTGCAAATTCAAAGAACACAAATGATCGATTTTCAAAGTTCAGCGTCATTTATAGACATAAAAGACATATCAATTGTGAGTAATTTTTACTAAGTGGCTGTACGCTTTTAATAATTTATTTATTTATCATGATCTAATGAGAGCGTTTGTTTTTGAAAAATTCCCAGAAATTTTCTCACTGAGCATCTGCTGTGTTCTGAGTAATATTCCAAGAAAGTGCACAAAATCTTTTGAAACTCAGCATACAACCGTGGCGTTTCCTGAATGCAGTAATTTTTTGTTCACAGGAGCTGATGTTCCACACGATCGTTTCGATTCTGATCAGTTTTGATCCCAATCCCGATTCTGGCCAAAGTTGACTATCGAGACGTCTTTTGTCGCACTTTCGAGCGGTCTAGTCAAGTAAAAAAAGAAGCCGCTTAGTGAGGAGCACATGCTGATCTCATCCGCGTGAGCCCGAAGTGTATCGAACCAATTACCGGTTTATACTTACAAATGAAAGGTGGATGTAGAAATACCCGGCCGCCGGCCGTAATCAGACGCGAGTGGTGGTGCAGAGAAAGATGCGACGCGGACCGAGTGGGATATAAATCCGATCCATCCATCCATCCATCCGGCGCGCTATCCTCGTGTCTTCCCGCGTAAGATCGCGAGAGCTGCTGTTCGATCCGCAGAAGAGATATCGAAACGGCGCGCGTATAAATCTTGCTAACGCGCAAACGTGCTCGCGACGACTTATATAATCGTTTAACAAATTTACGGATAATCCGACGTCACTCGACATGAACTCTGCCAGACATCTCAATAGGTGTTTTCGCGAATGATTTCGCGATATCGCGCGCGTAATTCTTCGAGCACTCGAAGATCTATACGATCTGTCCGAGCTTGGCATATTAGATTTTCTCTCTTCAGTGAGAATATCGGAGACTTCTGTGAATGTTTCGTAGCTCAAATACTTAGATACACGAAAAGAGATACGATTATGATGTACGATGTGTATTCGCATATTGTTACACATGCGTATGATTCTTTTCTTTCCTTTGTTAGTCTTAAACGAGCTGTCATAGTCAGCGTTATTTTATTGACAAGAAAATAATCACAAGAAAGCTTTCTCTAGTCTGTATATATTTCTAGAGTTATAAAATTGTAATAATTGTAAAAATTGTTATAATTTGTAATTTTGTAATTGTAGTTATTTACATAATTTATTTTATATTTTCCCTTATTTTTTTCTAATGGAATTCTCCCGTAAATAAATAAGTAAATAAATCAATAAATGATCGCAGATATGTTGAAAAAATTATGAATGGATATAAAACAAAATCAACTGAAATAACTCGAATTGAGTAGAATAAATTTAATTTCAGAATTGTATATAGCAAACTAACTATCTTAATCTTTTCAGCAAAATTTTCTTGTTTTTTTATTTCTTGTTGTGTGAAGCAAATTTGAAATTAACTCAATAAAACAATTATAAAGTTGACTCGATTGATTATTGATTATGTCACTCATCTAAATCTGAAATTAACTTTTTACTTAGGAAGAAGAATTACTCACATTACACAATTACATCAACTTCTTAAAGTTGAAAGAATATTCATGCTGTGAAAAAAATTATTGGTATTTGTATGTTTAATATTTGTATGTACTACAATTATATAATGAAATCATAATATCATAATATCATAATATCATAATAATAAAATAGTAGAAAAAACTATTTTTCGAGTAAGCGTAAAGTAATATATATAATGTTGATATATATAATAAATATTAGTATATATATATAATATATAATATAGAATAAATAATAAATATACTATTAGAGATAATAATTTTATATACAGGGTGAGGCAATAACTATTAGGACCTTAAATATCTTCGAATCTATAAGGCCCAGAGGAAGGTTTGTGTAACCAAAATTGCACGGTACGAAGGGGGCTATCATATAGCGATAATAATTTTTGTCCAGGTGGAGGCGCTTCGGAGATACCAGGATCAATTTGCGTTTTTCAAATAGGAACCCTAACTTTTTATTACACTGTCTTTTTCTACCAATTAATTTCAACAACTTTTGTCTAAAACATTTTTTTATTTGCCTAATATTTTTTGAGATATTTGAGGAAAACTTGATAACTTTTTTAATATTTAACTTACAATATCTCGCTAACTATTTGTCGGAAGAAAAAGTGGTACTAGACTTTCTTGCTTTATTTAGTCTCAAGAATATATTGTTACAATAGCGCCCTGACTTTTGTTATCTTGCTGATTTTTGGAAATTTTAAAATCATCAAAGTAACAAAAATCAAGACACTATTGTAACAATATATTCTCTAAATAAAGACTAAATGAAACAAGAAAGTCTAGTACCACTTTTTCTTCCGACAAATAGTTAGCGAGATATTGTAAGTTAAATATTAAAAAAAGTTATCAAGTTTTCCTCAAATATCTCAAAAAATATTAGGCAAATAAAAAAATGTTTTAGACAAAAGTTGTTGAAATTAATTGGTGGAAAAAGACAGTGTAATAAAAAATTAGGGTTCCCATTTGAAAAACGCAAATTGACCTTGGTATTTCCGAAGCGCCTCCACCTGAACAAAAATTATTATCGCTATATGATAGCTCCCTTCGTACCATGCAATTTTGGTTACACAAATCTTCCTCTGGGTCTTATAGATTCGAAGATATTTAAGGTCCTAATAGTTATTGCCCCACCCTGTATATATAAGAAAAGAATGGCAAAATATTCAACTGTAAGAATAAGAAGATTTCTAGAGGATGTTTTTACTTAATGAATTGTTCTTAACAATCTCAAATTTTTATATAGTTGAATGTTTAAATAAATGTTCAATGAATGTTTAAATGAGTGTTTAATTAAATGTTGAAATGAATATTTTTGTTCGCGGAGATACCATTTTTCGTCACCGAATTTTTGCCTCTGATCATAGTATTATTATTACTTTTTTCTTAAAATAACAAAAATATATAAATTTTAAAAACCAAAAACAACTATAATTTTAATGAGATTAACTATTTTTTTTCTTTCAATTACATATATTATTACATGTATGACATTGTTTCTATTTCTCACTGCTGACAACATTTTGCAGTCCGA